TTTGCAGATTCGGATGTAATCATTCGAGAGGATGAACCAAGTTCACTTATTGCTTTTACATTAAGGTAAAATATTTAAATTCTAAAGATAATATTATTAATTTCATAGTTCTGTTGATTACTTAAATAAACTTAAAGAAATGGAGCATATTAAAGCTCTTTATAATATAATTGAAAATTCAAAAACTGAAGAAAATTTAAAGAATCTAAGCGAATTAACGAAGAAACCGTTAGAAAATGCATTATTAAAACTTACTGGAACTCATTTAAAATATCGTAAAGACTCTATAAATATTATTAAAATTCTAATGAAAAAATCTAGAATTTCAAGAAGGTTCTACACAGCTATTTTGCAAAGTATTTTATGCAGAGCAATTTGATGCATTTAGACGTGCATGTAAATGTGATGAAGACTATCTTTCATCTCTTTCAAGATGTTTTAAGTGGGACTCTTCTGGTGGCAAATCAGGTTCTGCTTTTCTTAAAACTAGAGGTTGGATTTAGTGTTTTTATTAATTAATCATTCTAAAATATTTTTAGATGATAGATTAGTTTTAAAACAATTATCTCGACTAGAAACAGAGGCTTTTATAAAATTTGCACCTTCTTATTTTGAATATATGTCTCAGGCCTTTTTTCATGAAGTATTATTAAATTATTTTATTGAGTTATATTAATTTATTAAGTTACCTACTGCAATGGCTAAAATTATTGGGTTTTATCAAATAGGTTCTCGAAATCCTCATACAGGAAAGCTTACAAAAATGGATGTATTAGTAACAGAAAATCTTTTTTATGGAAAAAAAACATCTCGAGTAATATATTTTATAATATACATTAATTTTTAAAAATTTTTAGATTTTTGATTTGAAAGGTTCTATGAGAAATAGACATGTACAATCAACTGGCAAAGAAAATGAAGTATTATTAGATGAAAATTTGGTTGAATGTAGCTATTATCTTCTTAATGGACTTGTGAATAATCAATTATAGTTATATATGATTCCCCATTATTTATTCGTGAGCATTTTAAAAGAATTTTAAGAGCATCTTTATGGAATGATACCTTGTTTTTGGCAAAAATGAATGTTATGGATTATTCAATGGTTGTTGGCATTGATGATGAAAGACAAGAATTAGTTGTTGGGATTATTGGTATATTTTGAAATCATTTTATTTTTTTAGTTTATTTATTTATAGATTGCATTCGTACTTATACATGGGATAAAAAATTGGAAAGCTGGGTTAAAGAAAAAGGTTTAGTAGGTGGCGGTGGAAAAGAACCTACTGTCGTAACACCTCGTCAGTATAAAAATCGCTTTAGAGAAGCAATGGATTCGTATGTTTATTTTTTTGTTTTTTCCTTCCCTAATTAATTGTATTAAATAGTTATATATATGGTTCACCAAGGTATCTTATTATAAATACCATCTTCTTAATACTAAATAATAATAGTTGTTGGTATTTATTTGAAAGCGCTTTAGGACTTAAGATTTAATTTTGAATATAAAAGCAATAAAGTAATCTATATACAAAAATTTATTGTATTATAGTATTTTAATTTAATTCTATTATTTAATATTTTTAATAGTTTTTTTATAAAACTATTTTCAATATTTTATATTTCAACTTAATATCGCTTAAATGGCAAATAATGGACGGGTCTTATAAAGGAGATTTTGTAAATAGAGATAAGATGACATCTTTTATGTCTCTAATGGATTCTTTGACTACTCAACAACGTCTTGCTGTAACAAGTTCTCAGCGATTTTTGCAAATTTTGGCAGGACCAGGTTCTGGTAAGAAATAGCTTTTTTTAAAAAAAAAAAATTAAAAATATCAAGGAAAAACGCTTGTTTTGATTAGCAGGATTATTCATATACTTTTAAAACAAAATGTGCTTCCACAGGAAATTGTAGTAGTAACTTTTACGAATAAAGCAGCAAAAGAAATTAAAAATAGAATTAGTTCTATAATTGGAGAAGATATTGGGAATAAGATAGTTTCCGGTAAATATCATGTTTTTATTTATCTTTTAATTCTTTATTTAGGAACATTTCATTCTTTTGCGAGACAATATCTTGTAAAATATGGGTATTTAATTGGGTTAGGCATTTTTGGCATTGCAGACAGATCTGATAGGTTTGAAATCTATTATTATTTATTACATTAATAATTTAAAGTATTTTTTTAATTAAAAAATATCTAAAAGAAAGAAATATTGTAGACTTGGAAATTCTAACAAATAATACTACAATTAAACTTTCGCCTAAATCAATTATGAATCTAATTTCATCCTTAAAGTCAAAAGAAATCACTGTTTCTGCTTATTCAGATGCGAGGAAATTTCCAAATTCATCTAAACTCTTATATCATCAAGAAATTTTAAATATATATAGGTTTGGTGATCTATATTGACTTGTATTATTTCTTATGATTAGTTATTATCAACGATCTCTCCTTGAAAGCAATTTACTTGTAGTATTCAATTTGATTTGATAATATTTTTTTTAAAGAAAATTATTTAGGATTTTGATGATCTTTTATTGCATTGTTTACAATTGTTCAAAGAAAATCCTTTCTGTGCTAAAGATATTAAATATATTTTTGTTGACGAATATCAAGATACAAATCTTATTCAGTATGATATGGTAAAATCTTTGATACATGAAAAATCTTCTTTGACAATAGTTGGTATTTGTTTAATTTTTTTTTCTTTCTCTAATAGTCAATAGGAGACCCGGATCAAAGTATATATAGTTTTAGATCAGCAGATATTACAAATTTTGAACGTATGAAAGAAGATTTTCCAGATTCAGGAACTGTCTTTTTAGAGCACAATTTTCGCTCATCAGGAGCTATTTTGCAGACAGCTTTAGCATTAATTGAACAAGGTAAGTATATAAAGATTTATGGGTATATTTTATATAATTTTTATAGATATAAATCGTCCTGAAAAAACGCTTTATTCAAGCTTAAAGGACGGTTTTACTCCTGTTTTAAAAGTCTTAGATGATCATGTAAAAGAAGCTCAATGGATAGCAAAGGAAATTAAAAAATATGTAGAAAATACTTCTGGATTTTTGACATATAAGGACTTTTCTATTTTAGTACGTTCTTCAGTTCTAACACAACCAATTGAAAATGCATTTCAAAAATTCGCTATTAATTATAAAATGGTGAATAAATCTAAAGATATCTTTAAATGTAATTATATGGATAGGTCGGTGCTTATAAATTTTATGATCGTCAAGAAATAAGAGATATTATTGCATATTTACGATTAATATGTTTTAATGATGAATTGGCACTATCAAGAATAATTAATATTCCTAATCGTGGCATTGGCAAAAATAGATGGGATTTTATTGTTAACAAGTCAAAAATGAACAAGAAACCTATACTAGTAATATTGGAAGAGATAGCTAAAGGAAAACACAATACTGGAAAGATAATAGATAAAAATGTCGAAAATTCAATTATATCATTTATTAATACTATAAACAAAATTAAGAATTATATAAATATTCAAATAAATTCACCTATTTCTAGCATTCTTCTTTATGTTTGTGAACTATTGGATTATGAAAAATATTTATTAAAAAAATACCCGGATAATTTTCATGAAAGATGGAATAATGTTTTGCAATTTATCAATAATTTTAATAATATTAATTCAGAAGATGATAATATGTATTCTCACATAAACGAAACTGATAATATATATCAAAAACTTTTGATAAAATTCCTCGACAATATATCTTTATTTTCTGATACAATAGAAAACGAAGATGATACATGTTTAAAGGTTGATATAATAGTTAAATCAATATTAGCTAATATATAAATAGGTTACTATTTCTACTATCCATGCTGCAAAAGGTATTTTATCTTATTATACTTGGATAAACTACCAACTTTATAATTTTAAGGTTTAGAATGGCCAATTGTATTCTTACCTGGTCTATATAATGGATCAATACCACATTCAAGAGCTGAAGATATATCTGAAGAACGTCGATTATTATATGTTGCTATTACTCGCGCTCAAGGTAACTAGTTTCTTTCTCTATAGTAAGCTAACAAAAAAGCTATGCTTTATCTATCTTACCCTGGTAAAAATAGTTTTCAAGACAAATTGGAGCTTTCATCTTTTTTAAAAAAAATATCTTTTGTCTCTTCATTTGAAAAGCAAAATCCAAAATTAGATATACCATTCATTAAGACATTATCTGAACTTTTAAAACGATCAACACCAATTCTTAATTTTTCAACGTATTAAATTAAATATTTTTCTATATTTTCTAATGAATTTTAGAATTAATATCTATAATAATAATCTTTTTATTGATAATACATTTTGCAATTTTTATAAGGAAAAAAATAAAAATACAGCAGAAATTGAACATTTAGAATATTCTAATGATAATATGAGTATATCTGAAGGACAATTGAATCCTAAATATACAGGATTTATAAATCTTAAAACAGTTCTTAATAATCAACTAAATGATTATAATCAAAAACAATTATCAGAAGAAAAAAATTATAATTTTAAGAAGCATAAAACACATCAATCCGTAGAATCTACATTAAAAAATGAAACCAAACATTTAAATGTTTCTTTTAAATCTCAACCAAAAAGTGTTAATAAATATATAAATATTCAGAACTTAAATATACAAAAAAAGGCATCCAATAATAATGATATATCCTTGGAATCCCAAACACAACTAGCACAGTCATTAAAAATAAATAAAATAGCAGAAAAACCTATTGTTAAACGCCTTGGAATACGCAGAAGTATTCTAAAACGCACTATGTTTTATGGAAAATAAGTAAATCAAATATTCATGAGAAATGCACATATAATGATTCATATTTGTATATATATTTACATTCTATATCTTTTACAAATTTAAATAAACTTTACAATACCCAACTATTTATATAGATTAGGATTTATTTATATATTTTATACAATTAAGACAATAAGTAAGGTTATCTTTTTGATATCTATAATCAAATAAGTCTTTATAGTCGCTTTATATTATATATACTGTATTACTCTACATATGTCACAGACAATATGGTGACAGGAAATACAAGAATAATCATCAAAATTAGGTAGGGTATCAGATGCGAAAATAATAACTTGATCACAATCATCACATTGTAATGATTGAATATCGGATTTTTTATCTTTAATTAAATGATTATTAGGCGTGTTTTGAGCTGAATATAATTTGGCTAACGTAGAAGCTATTAATATCGATTAGGAATAGACACAAAAAACAGTGTGTTAATATAAAGATTACTATATATTTCCTCAAGTGAAGGGCGGTTGTCCTTATATTTCTTTTTCAGACGATTACATATCAATAAATCATTGAAATTCCGTTTTTTATTCATATTTTAGTTTTTAATAATTCATAGTTTTTTTTAAAAAAAATTAAACGATTTTTTTATTATTATATTTGAACAATTAAATGTTAAATATATATGATCCATTTTTTAATCCCAATAATGTATCATTCCATCCCAACCTAATTATATGTAAAAATTAAAATAATATAATAGTGATTTTTATATTACCTCCTGTTACAACTTTACTTGTTTCTTGAGGATGAAAAGCTATCGTTGATAAAGGACCATTATGTGCGGAAAATTTCTTATACATTCTACATGTTTTCCAATCTGTGATATAAATTAACATTCAATTGGTATAAAGAAAAAAAATAATAAATCACCCCAAAAACACGCATAACCACCAGAATCTCCACTACACAATAAACGTCCTGATATTCATTAAATTAAAGCAATAAATGTAGAAAAAAATAAACTAACCGTCAGGAGAAAAATTAACCTCAAGGGCATATCCAGCACAACTATGTCCTTTAAAATTTTTTTGACGTCTTTGTCTAAATTTATCTATAACTGAAAATACAATTATTTGATTGTCAAGAGATTGACATGCTACATATTTTCCGGAAGGGTGTAATGCAACAGATGGTAAAGAATGCATATAAGGCTCTGCAATATATTTAATTGGAACGGGTATTCCATATTCCCAAGCACGTAGTGATTTATCATCAGAAGTTGTTATAAACCGTCTATTTTCATCAATAAATGTAATTGTATTTACTGCTCCTAAATGATGATCATATTCTTGTATGATATCCCCAGAATTTATATCAAACTATAAAATTTATAAATAATAAAAAATAAAAGGTAAGAATATACTTGAACAATTTTTTTATCAGACATCCCTGTTAAAAACTCATGTTGTTTATCGTCATCTGGATTAAATTTAACAACATATGGAATTTTTCCTGTAGTAAATCGAGATATACACTGTCCTTTTATAATATTTATGATTAAAGCATTTTCACATAAGAAAAAAAATAATTTACCTGTTTCAGTATCCCAAAGTTTAATCATTCTATCATAACTAGCACTTAAAAATTTTCGTCCATCATTTGTAAATGTTATATCTCTCACGCCCGTACTATGTCCAAAATATGTACGAAGAAGAGATCTTTCATGGTAAACATCCCAAAGCTAATAATGAATATGAATACAATGTTATAGTTTAAGATAAATGGGAAAACCTTAATTTTAGAATCCATAGATCCGGAAAGAATAAGATGTCCAGAACGTGGAAAAAATCTTGCAGCTGAAATAGTTTTAGTATGACCTTCCCATGTATGAATACGTTTTTTAGGAACAAAACATTCTTGTTGTCCTGGCTCCCTTAATAGATTAATATCCAAATCCAGAGGTACATGCATATATGTTCGACCTAATTAATAAAATGTAAAAATAAATCAATTGAATTAAAAAAAAAAGATTACCTTGATAATCGTACATGCTCTCTCCATGAAATACGGTTTTTTCTACACCAGTTGTATTAACATCGATATTTTGAGATTCAATGATCGGATTCGAAACAGGTATTTCGTCTTCCTCATCTTCATCTGTTTCTGGAGGAGAAAACGTTTGCTCCGTTTCTTTAAATACATATTTAGCCCATGGTCCCTTATATGTATTTTCTCCATAAACTGTTTCTAAATCTCCCGTTTTTTCTCTTAAGCTTTTTATCTCTTTAGTTCGTTGTTTATTAAATTTTCTTTCCAAAACACTTTCTCCATTCTGCTTCATAGCAAGCTCCACATCCCCAACAAATGCATTTGGTCCATGAAGTCCCACTGATTGAAGCGACGGATCTCTAGCATATCCAAATGCATTAAATGTACGATATTGATCACGAAATGTTGCTTCTGAAAAACCCTGTTCCTCAGCATGACCTATATAGTCATCAATCCTTCCTTCCCTTTTAAAAATACAATATATACCCGTAATTACTGTCTTTTTTTCCAACATTCTCCCATTAAACGGATTAATTGGTCCTTGAACTGGCTTAGAAAGATCTTCATACGGGATATTTAACATAATTTTTCCATTTTTAAAGTCATTTTGCATCAATCTAAGCCTCTTTGTATCCTAAAACTCATTTTTCAGTCTTTTTTTCCCGGAAAAAACCCTTAAAGACCTGTATAGATACATCTGGCGCTGCTACCACTTTTCTAGCGAAATTTGACGCTTTTTTCTCTCTTTTTTCTTCATTTTCACTCTCCCCTGAAGATGTATAGTTAACAAGAGACATTTACAAATTCTGGGAAGGTCTCTGCCTATTTATATTTTTTGGATTTATTTGCTTTTTTTTTGGATTATCTTTGTCGACAAGCTAACGACAAATATTTTTAAACATGTGGGTTTTAGAAAGCAGCTCATTCGAGCTAAATGGTACATATATATATCCTAATTTTGGTTTTTATAGCATATTTTAATGTTTTTTATAGGGTTTAGAAGATATTTAAGGCCAGGAAAAGAGTATTTGGTTGGTCGTGCAAAGTGTAAAAAAAAAGCATAAAATAAGCGTTAAAAGAGCTTATAATTGAAGATATCACGGATATCACGATTGATTCTAATACGGTAAGCAAGAGACATGCTAAATTTGTCGTTGTTTCCGTAGAAAAAGGAGCATCAGTGGGTGAAATCAGTGATTTAGAAAAAAAACTTATAAAGTGAATTAATTAGCTACTTTTGGAGGAAAAAACAGCCATTTATTTGATTGATCTTAATTCTAAATTTGGAACAATAGTTAATGGTGAAAAATTGGGGGAATTCTCGAGAAAATGCGATGAAAATTTTTATGAAATTACTTTTGGAAAATGTCAAGGAAAATTTAGGTATAAATGGGAAAATATCCATGAATTATGGTTAACAATGATATAAGACTTTCTTGGAATCCAATTGTTTTTACATTGTCCGGAATAAAGCTAAAAGACATACAATTACTAGTGGAAGCATATGGTTTTATAGAAATAAATAATTTTTATATAATATTTATTTTTAGGAATTAAAATCACAAAAGAATATTGTGACAAAACGACGCATGTTGTTTCTAAACAAAGGAATACAACGAAAAATCTTCAAGCTTTTATTTGCGGCGTATTTGTAGTATCATATTCTTATGTACAGGAACTTGTACGAACAATAGATCTTTTAGAATTGAATTTTGATGGAGGGTTCCCTAATCCTGAAGATCATATTCCTCAAGACAATCATTATTTAAATATTAATGTTTCTCCAAAGGATTTTTTGCCTAATAAGCAACGAAGACATTTATTTCGTGGGTTAACATTTATTTTTTTTGATAAAAATCAGGTAATATTTATGTTTTTATTAGAGTATAATATATATGATTAGTATTGTAACTTGTCTCTTCCAATAAATGCTGCTAGTGGGAAAACAGCGTTTTGTAATGAAACTTCTAACATTGAACAAATTATTATATTTATGCATAATTATTCTAATGTAATTGCAGTATCTCCTCTTGATAATTTTTACTTTGTTGAAATGGCATGCAAAAGGTTCTTTTTAATATCTATATATTTTATATTAATTTATGATTTAGACTTAGGATAAACATGATAAGTCAAGATAAATTTTTTGAGCCTATAGTAAAAATGGATTTGTCTTTATTTGAGAAGGATTTCTATATAAACAATGATCCAAATTATAAAAATAATTCTATCATAAGTAATAAGAAAATATTTTAAAACATTATAACCGAATTTAGATAATACAAATTATAATTCTCGTATGTTATATTAATCTTAAAGATCATTTCTAAAATATTTAATCAATTTAGAAATATTTCCTGCCTCCAAATCCGAATTAAATAATGAATTAATGTCTCAAGGTAATTAAAAATTATTTAATATTTGAAATAAATATAAATTATTAGTATTTAAAAAACGGGATATAAATGTGGTTTCAAATGATAATGTTTTTATTTATTTTGTTGTTTAAACGGAATTGACTATTTAAGGGTAATAAAGAGGATATTAAGTCATCAGAACATATAAACGAAGTTTTTGATAAAAATGATACTTTATCACAAAGTTTTTCAAATTGCAATAAATTTTCAACTAAAGCGAGAATTATATATCCTATTTCTGATAACGAAGTACTTTTTTCATGTTAAAAATTATAAAGACTGATAAAATATGTTTTAGAACACTATTTCTACTGATTCTAATATAAAAATGGATCCTGATTTTTATAGTCCTGTAAATTCTCATTGTTCTCAAAATTTATCCTCAAACAAATTGAATATTATGCATGGTAAGAGTATTATATATATATATATATATTACTCTAAACTTTATAAAGATATTTATGATGATTTTCTTAATACATCTAATTCTCCAAGAAAAATTCTTCTGAATTCAGGAAATTCAAATAAAAGTAGATATGAAACTAATTCGTATAATTGTTTAAAATCAGATTTATCTCTTATTTCTACAACCAAAAATTTTGAAATTCCTTTATCTTCAACTTTACAAGAAAATAAAATAAATTCATTTCAGACTATAAAAAACGAATCATCAGAATCACAATTTTCCAAGTCAACTGAAAAGTATGAAAAATTAAAGGCTATTGAATATTTTAAAGTAGAATTAAAACCACAAAAATCTTTTGTAAATTTGTCTTCTCGTTGGGATCCTAAATGGAATGGAAGAAAAAATTTCAAAAAATTCATAAGAGTTTATTCTAAAAATTTTTATGAATAAAGCTTATTTTTTTAGGTTAAAAAAACACAACCTCAAACATTTACACAGCATATTCGTCTTGTAGAATATAAGCCTAATCTGAAGCTTATTCAAGGTATATAATATTCTTAATTTTTGCTTATTTAATAACGTATACAATTAGAATCAAATAAACAAAAGAGTAATGGACAAATATTTAGTAAGAAGATTTTTAAATAAAAATAAATTAATTTTTACAGAAAAAAATATTAAAAACACAAGTTCTGATTCTAATAAAACATTCGTATTTAAAAATAAAACTAAAACATTTTCAACAAATATTCAAAATTATTTCGATATCACTCAAGATGATAGTGATGATGATGATCCTTTAAAATTTAGATTCTAATTTATAATTCATATAGTATGGAACTGTCTTTATAATATCATTAATTTATTTGTCTATTTTACATAAGTATTGATATATGTCAGTTATATTTATATTTATTTTTTTTTTATTTCAGGAACTTTTGATAATATTATTAATTTATTAACATGTAGTAGTTGTTGTTTTTCAGTAAAATAAAAATATTTTATTTATTTCTGTTAATATTAGGCTATATATTTAAATATTCTTCTATTAACAATTTCATAAATATGATTATTTCTTTCAAATTCATGACGAATCTAACTTTAATAAGCTAGATTTTTTTTGAAAAATAGTTACCCATTTACGTGATTCATTCTTAATTTTTTCTAGCGCTAAAATAGTTTAATTTTCTAAATCTTAAGAAATTCACTTTCTCTGTATCTTAAAAATTCTTTAAAGTAATTATTTTGTGACGCAAAATAAATTAATAATGGCTATTTTAAATCTTATAAAATAAAAATAAAACATATTCAAATGTTTCAATTTCATTAAAATTATATTTTTTAGTTTGATATAATAATATTATTTAAGGTCTAAATAGATAAAATTAATTTTATATGCAAAAATAATTTTGAATGATAATTATTATTGAAAATAAGATAATCTTATTTACAAGACTTTCAAAATTCATCTAAATCGTAAACTAAAGAGCTTGAAATACAAAATAAATTAAAAGGTATTTGCAATTACGTAAAGTTGTCTTTTAAGATCTAGTATTGAGGGTATAGGATCTTTAGAAGTCAACAATTTCATTAACCAAGAAAAGTCACTTTGAGATGCCAATGAAATAGATGATTCATAATTAGTTTTATTTAATCGAGCAGATTGTGAAGATATCTCAAATTTTTTGGCTGCAATTTCCGCATTTTTAATAATTTCATCTGGTATACCTGCCATAGCAGCAACATTCTATAGATAAATAATGAAAATTATATTAATACATGAGAAATATTTACCATTCCATATGATTTAGAACTTACACCAGGTCTGAGTTCATATAAAAATGTTATTTTCCTTTCATTTTCATCAACATGTGCTGCCATATAATGCGCTGCTATTTTTGGATGATTTTCAAAATCTTTTACTAACGAATGATAATGAGTTGAAAAGAACCCAAGACATCCTACATATGTAGATAATTTATGAAGTGTAGAATATGCAATTGCTAAACCATCATAAGTTGATGTTCCCTGTTATAAAAAATCAATTACTATATTAGAAATATGATGTTAAATACCCTTCCAAGTTCATCCAGAATAACTAAAGATTTTGAGGTTGATTCTTCAATAATTTTTTTGGTTTCTAAAAGTTCTACCATAAAAGTAGATTGTGACCCAAATATGTTATCATTTGCACCGAGTCTACTTTTAATAGAATCCATGGGAGTAAGTAGAGCACGCCTTAATAAAATTAAATAATATTTCGTATTAAAAATTTATATTACCTTGCAGGAACTCGACATCCAAGTTGAGCTAATATTACTGCAACACAAGTTTGTCTTAATAAAGTAGATTTTCCCTAATATGAGTTAATTTATGCTAAAAAATAAACAAATAAAAATATACAGCCATATTTGGGCCTGTTAATAAAACAATTGTCGGATCATCCTTAGATCCCCCTAATTTAATATTATTTGGTATAAAAGACGATGAAAGACTATAATAAATTAATAAGGATAAAAAAAAAATAAAAACAACCTTGGAACAACACACGGATGCTGTAGTTCATCAAACTCTAAAATACTATATTCACTATCAATAACTTGTGGGCGACATGATGGCTCTCCGAATTCCATAGATGATATAGATAAACTTGTTAAGCAATCTAGATGTGCAATACTTTTAACAACTTTTAGCCATTGGAAATAGTTTTCATCGAATTTAGCAAAAAACGAATCTCGAACATTCTTTATTACAATTTTATGAGCTTCTCTGGCCTCTTGAAGCTGTCGCACTTTTATTTTTAATTCAGGAGACCAATATCTATTAACAGACTAAATAATTAGTATTTTAATATTATAATTGCTATGAATATAACCTTTGTACACGAGAGTTTGATCCATGAACACGGTACTTCAATAGATTTAGGAACCTCTATCTGATATATTTCTTTTCCAATGTCTCTAAAGGTAATTTGAGGTAATCTAAAATTAATATTATAAAAACTAATAAGGGTACTTACTTAAATTGTTTTCTATAGTCTCTTTCCATTTGATGAAGTTCATCTTCAATTGCTTCAATTTTATTTTGAGAATTATCAAAATCTTTTTCAGTTCCAGGATTAGGAATAAGTATATCTAATAACATTAAAATCTAAAAAGTAAATTTTAAAATATTGACATATACCTTCATCTTTACATTTTTTCCAATCAAACATTTTTTTCCAATCATTAAGAATATCTACAAGATCTGGAACGTCATTTATAATTTTCCAAAGAAGACCATTATCTTGTTTCAAATTTTTAGAAAGATAGTCTAATATCTCATATATGGTATTGAATCCCTCTAAAACAGATATGAAATCTTTACTCCTACAATGTTTAGAATGAATTCGTGAGATCATTCGTTCAAGATCAGGAAGAGTTTTAAAAGAATTAACGATAAATTTTCTAATAGAAAGATCACTCAGCAATTCTACAGCATCTAATCTTTCATTTATTTTATCAACAGAACGTAATGGATGGCAAAGCCAAAGCCGAAATAATCGTTTTCCTTACAAGACATTAATAATAAAAATATATTTTATAATTTTTACCAAATGGCGTTGTGCATCTATTAAGAAGCTTAATAAGGGTACCATCTAATCCTCCATCATATGAATTGCTAAAAATCTATAAACTCGTTAATATATATATATACATAATATTATTAAGACAACCTCAAGGTTTTTAAGAGTTTGTCCATCAAGAATAAGTGATGTGGCTTCTTGAATAGGATCATACCATTCAAAATTTCCAAGAGTACATAAATTTTTGTCCATTTTTAGCTTATAAAATTAATAAAGATGATAACGTAAAAATTGAATTGCTTACTGTCTTCAAATACCAGACCAATCCACCTACAGAAGACAACGCTATAGGATAATTTCGCGCTTTTTGAAGCGCTGGAGGCCAATTATTGAAATCATTATCTTTGAAATAATTATTTATTAGAAATTGAGATTCTGTTGTATGTTCATCCCAAAATTCTATGCCTGGTTTTATGAAATTCCATGTTGTTTCATCAATCCCTGAATTTTTTAAAAGTTTGATAGTTTTAGGAGTAACATTTGCCTTATATGATCAAACAAAAAATTGAAATTTATGCTAGGTTACCTTTTCTAAAATAAGTTCTTTCGGTTTTATTTGAGTAATAAGTGTATAGAGTTTTGTTCTTGAAAGATCATCTTTAAAATATGTAATTTTGAAATTTGCTGTTGCAGCATCAACAAAACATATCCCAAAAGATACTACAGAACTATTTATTTCATATTCTTCCTAGATATAACTATTAGCCTAAGTAAGGGGAAAATATAAAACAGACTTTAATTGCCATACAATAAGTCGAAAGATCTGATTTCATTATACCCTCATTTATAAGTGTTCCAGAAGTCAATACATGAACCAATTCTCTCCTAACTACCTTTTCATCTTTGACTTTAGAAGATTTATCTCTCATTTCTTTTCCAAGAGAAGTTTCTAATTGATCTACACGAGCAATTTTAAAACCTTTTTCTATAAATTTAGAAGCCCAATGTTCATAATTAGCATCTGGAACACCAACCATTCTAAGTTTAATAAATATTAAATTAATATATTAAAAAAAAAAAAACCTCATAGTCCCAACTCTATCTGTCATTTTAAGATTAAACAATTGATGACCAATATCTGCATCTATTTGATATAACTCATAAAATCTTCCTTTTTGAAAAAAAACTAATGTATCCATAAATTTAGATTTAATATCCCAATATTGTTTTTCAAATGGCTTAAATGATTTGTATGCAGCAGGGGGTATATATAATGTTCTTTCATCATAATTAGGGGAAGATGGCAAATTCCCATCAGCATCTCTTCTATATTCAGGAAGTAAAAATTTATAATTTTCTTCAGCCTCATGATTAAAAACTTCTGAAGATTTTTCTTGAGTGCTAAATAAAGAGGTTGAAGATGATTTTTTATCAGATGAATCAATTGATGAATATTTATTTTCAATTTCCATATTTTTCTCCATTTTTTCAAATTTTTCTACTAGATCTCTTTTTTTATCTTTATTTATCAATTTCCTTAATTTTCTTCTTTTTAAATGATTCTCTTCCTGATTACTTGAAACACTAGGACATGAATCTTAAAATAAATAAATAAATAAATAAACATGTAATTAAGAAATTATTTACCACTCTCATTGTTTTTACTATCATCTTCAGAAATCGTCATTTTAAATTCATCATCACTATCATGAATAATTTTCGACTTTTTCCGTCTAAAAACTATATAAACATTAATAACCCCATAAACATATAGATAAGCGCATCAATTATTACGTATATATTCCATATCGTCCTCATCTTCATTATCTTCCTTATAATTTAATTTTCTTCTAGGCTTAAAGAAAATTACTAAACCACCTAAAAATATGAAATACTTACATAATTGAGAGGAGACAGATTAAACGATGAAAAATTTTCCTTTTCTCTAGTCTTTTCTGAATTTAATTTATGAATATTCAATGTAACCGGTGTAAGTATGCCATTAAATGATGTATCTCCTAAATTTAACGATTCTGTCTCCAATTTAGAGGAAATATCCTGTGAATTCCCTGATGATGATGAAAAATCACAGGATTTTGATGGACTATAAGGGAATCCTACTAAAGTACTTTCCTTTTTCTCTGGTTTTTTAATAAACCCCAAAAGTGTTTGTTGGGTCATTTTTTCTGCTTTTTTTTTCATTCTTATAGAATATCAGAAAAATAAAACAATTTTTAAGGTTTTAAAACGTGAAATCGTGCATAAATATGGTATTTTATAGCTTCTTTTTCATCAAAACTACGCCTCCAAATTGTTTCTCGTTGACGCGAAACGTTAAAATGCGTGTTTTTAGCTAAATTTTGTATTTTTTTTTTTTTTCAAAAAAAAATACATAAAAAAAGGAATATTCTTTCATATTTCAACTTAAAAACACATAAAAGATTTTTTCCTGTTTATTTTTTTTTTATTATAAAATACCTTATTTACTAAATATAAAAGAGGATGCAGCATCGTCTCGATCATCATTTAACGTCAAAAAAATATAGAGAATGAACAAAGTGATTAAAAGATATAAATAGTCCATGAAACGACTATGAAAGTATATTTTCATTATTATTTTACTAGAATATTTGGGATATCCTTTTTTTCCGTTTTTTTTTGGGGGTTTTCAGGGGTTTATACACAAGATTTATCATTGATCAAAGATTCACGTTGTTATGAGTTTAAAAAGAATTTTTTTTCACTAAATAATCAGTGTTTTCCTTTTGAATATGAAGATGTTTTTGAGGAGTCTTTTTCTGCTTTAAAAAAAGAGGAATTGGAGGTAGAATTGGAGAATTTTGAATATGGTTCAGAATTGTTTTTTGAGGAATGGAAGAAACAAACATCATCAGAAATTATACAAGGAAATAATGAAAATCTATTAGAAAAAGAACATAAGGATGATATGGTTCATAAAAATGATATGGTTAATAATGAAACATTATTGTATGATTTTGAAGAAAAAAAAGATCAAATTGAAAAAGATAATAATGATACAGAAGAAAATAAAGATCATGTTTCTGAAAAGGAAGATATTCTAGAAAAGGTTAAATTTTATGATTATTTGAGTGAATCTCTTAAAGAAAGATTTAATTATGCATCTATTGATTGTGCAGCGAATGTTTTAAGAGCAAATGTAGAAGCAAAGGGTATATCGTCAATACTCTCGTCAGACAATGATTTTTATATGTTAAATAAATGTTCTGCTGTTAATAAATTTGTGATTGTTGAGCTTTGTAATGATATCCTTATCGATACTATTGTATTAGGGAATTTGGAGTTTTTTTCTTCGACTTTTAAAGATTTTCGTGTTTCTATTTCTGATCGATATCCCATTAGAGAAACTCAGTGGAAAGAATTGGGTATATTCACAGCTATGAATATAAAAGATGTTCAGACATTTACGATATCTAATCCTTTAATATGGTCAAAGTATTTGCGTATAGATTTTTTAACACATTATGGTGATGAATTTTATTGTCCAGTTACTCTTTTAAGGGTTCATGGTACAACAATGATTGATGAGCTTAAATATGAGGAAAGTGAGCTCAAAGAAAATGTTAAATTTAATGATAAAGCTATTTTTAAGACTCAGGATTTAAAACAATCGTCTAATGATCTCTCAAATTTCGATGAACATTCTACCCAAAATCAAAAAATTGATTTTGATACTGAAAAAACTCACAAAACTTCATTTCTTCCTACTGAACATTTTGTAAATGCATCAATAGTTGCAGATTTATATGATAACATTCTTCTCCAAGATATAAATCATTATACAGATTCCGATTCTTCATATTTTTCTTCTAGATCAAAATCACCTTTTCTAAATGGAAATCATTATTGGATACCAGCTTTTTTTATAAAAAATCCTGTTTGTTCATGTTTGGATAATTTCTCTTCTAGCACATTTTATTCAAATTTCACTGAAAAAAATGCAATAAATAACCAGACAACACAAAATACGACACAATCTCCATCTTCCAATGTAGAAAACTTAGGAATGCAAAAAAATATATATAAAACCATTAGTAAAAGACTATCTTTTTTGGAAATGAACGCATCTCTTTATTTGCAATATATTGAACAACAATCAAAAATTCTAAGAAATATATTTATTAAAATGGAAAAGAAGCAGGATAATAAAATAGATTTTATTACACAAACGCTAAATTCTACTTTGTTTTCTCGATTAAATTCACTGGTAAGAAATTGTAATTATATATAATTTAATTTAATCTATGAAAAGAAGCATCAATATGAAGAATTATGGCAAAATATTCTTTCAAAGATTGAATATGAAAGGGATAAGTCAAAAAAAGATGTAGATATGGTTGCTTCTAAATTAGAATATTTGTCTAATGAGGTTTTTATTTATTATATATTAATTATGAAAAAAACTAAATTTTTTAGATTTTAATTCAAAGATGGATTATTGTTTTTCAATTTCTAATTTTGTTTACGGTTTTTATTTTTATTTTCAGATTTTCTTAATAACAAATCCTATTTTTTGTAAAAAAATGCATTTTGAAATTAGAAAAGGGAGTATAATTTAGAGTTTTTTTCTCATTATTAATTATTAAGGTAAATTATAATTTATTAATAGTTCTAATTTTAATTTTTTTAGATTTTTAACATTTTTAAAAACGTTTTTGGTTAAGAATTTATTGCTAATAAATTAAAATATCTTTTTTAATATTGCATATGTCATTATTTTTATTGTCTTTTGATTATTTGAATATGCAATTGTATTGGTCCTATCCTATGATTATTATGAATTTTATTTACTGGTATATTCTTAAGTATACAATATTTATACAAGCGGTATTTTCATATAAATAAATGATTTTATTAATGTAATTAGAAGAAATAGATTTGTATTTTTATATTTATTGAAATTATAGTATTTGACGTTTAATTCAACTAAACTAAAAAATCCTAGAAGAATTCATGATAAATATTTCTTAAACACTAATAAGAAATATAAACTTTATTAATTCACATTATTCTTTTTAAATAATACTATTTCTAATTTATAATATACATTTAAGGAATATTTTCTCTAATAATTTAAAAAAATTGAAAAGAATAAAAACAAGGCATGCTATAAGTTAGAAAATACAGTTAATGAATAAAAATACATTTTATCAATTTATGAAATGGAATTTTGAATATCTGTTTTCCCTAATATATTTTAATTTAAAAACACATCTATAATATTATTAATTACTATAGTCTTATAGGCCGTAAAGCAGTAACAAAACATTTTAAATAAATCAAAAAATATAGAATTCAAAACAACATTTAAATAGGATGCTCTTCTAAACCAGATTGCATTTGAGTAAACATATTCTGTAATGACTGAGGTTTTGCCCTATAAAAGTTTTAAAAGATATATAAAACTTAAATACTCAAATCAATACTTTCCATAGTATTTTTGTTTATGAGCTTGCAACTTGGCCGTAGTAGGAGACATAAGATCATCCGTTGGAGATGCTATATTTCCTCTAAAAATATTAAAATCTCTTTTTCATCAAATTAAATAATTTAACCCATAAATAACTTTTTTCTGTAAAAGCCGACGTTGAAGATCTAAGTTTCCTTGATGCATAGGCTGAATAGTTGTATCTTCAATTTCTACACTAAATGCCTTATTTAAATTACTTAATGACACCATATCTAATAATTATTAAAACTCTTGGAGAAAACAATTATGTTCCTTCCAACTATATCCTTATAAAAAACAAGTAAATCCTTATAATAACCCAATATTTGAATTAATATTCGTATGATTTTTCAAATTTATTATAAAAAACAAAACACTGGAGCGGTTGCCATGGGTAACGGTCACATGATATCCTTAAAATTTAAAAGAAATAGATGTATAGATGAAGATAAATGTTAATAATTTAGTCTTAGTTGTTAAGTTGCATTCTATATTTCATGAATTTTTGATAAAGATGTGTTTTATCTGACTATTATAAATAATAAATAAAAATTCTGAATTGTAAGATGAAGGATGATTGACCGTCCAAAAATAATAATAGTAGTGTGTTTATCTTTTAAATTGAATAAAAACAGTCAATGATACTGTTATTTAGTCTATTCCTTGAATGCGAAATTTTTTTCGTTTATATACGTTAAAATGTTTCTTAGATTTATTTAAAATATTATTTTGATGATTCTTATATAATTTAAATATGAATCCTTTGAAAACTTTTAAAAATTACCTCAAAAGAATGTGTTGTAAAGGGTCCCATATGTTTTTTATAGTAAAAACCTTTTGCAATTTTTTGATTTGAATTTAAAGATAATGTATTTTGAGAGAAAAAATCTTGATCAAACTTTGATAATCTAGCAGATAGAGACTGTTTATCTTCGGAATATGTTTGTTTTTTATTATTCTGTAATGGTCTATTGATCACCCTATTTTTAGTAGAATCTTTCGTTTGTAAGCACTTGTCTCCAGATAATTTAAATGTATCATAATGTTCAAGATTAAACATGTATGGATCAATTTCCGGAGGAGGAGTACAAAACAATAATTTCCCGTTTATATAATCCTTAATAATATGTCTAGAAGCTATACATTTATCAATTCCACGACTAGAAGCATATTTTTCTATGAATTCTTCAGCTGAAAGAATTCCTATTCCATCTTCATCAACAGTTCTTATTTGCAAAGAAATTCCATAAATCATTTCTAAAACCTCTTTTGAAATACGACTTATGATTAAAGCAATTGGACTTATATAATCCTTAAGCTGATCAATTGAAAGTACTCCATTACAAACAAGTTCTGCCTTTGTTGTAGTAAAATTTGGAAACACTAGTCCAGGGCAATCACAAAGTACTATTTTATCAGTAATATGAATTGTCTGAAAATGTTTTGTTTTTCCTGGAGTAGATGAAACAGATACTTTTTTTTCGCTAATCATAGAATTAATTGTTGAAGATTTTCCTACATTTGGATATCCCACTAATCCTACATAAAATTTCCCAAAATGCTCTGTATTATTATTATTATCATTTAAGACCTGTAATTCCTTGAAAAAAATATCCTTCAATTCATCAACTGAAACTATTCTTATTCTTTCATCTTCAAGATGATTATTTTCTTCTATTTTTAATTTATTATCAAGAGAATCCTCCTCACTTTCTAAATTTTTTTCGTCGAATATCTCTTCTATTTCATTCATTACCTTTTTTAGCAAATTTTTATGTTTTTTATCAATATATTCATCCTTATTATCTTTTTTTGCTATTGCTGAAAAGAAGGTATAAGATATCCCTTTCATTTTAAAATAATCTGCCCAACATTTTCTATAATGATTCAGCTAGATATATTTTATAGAAATTTTATTAAATACCTTTGTTTTTCTGTTAAAAAATCCGCCTTATTTATCAATAAAAAATTCTTTTTATTCATTTCTTCAACATATAATTCAAGATCTCTAGATTTATATAATAAAGGATTTCTTGCATCAACAATTTGAACAATTAAATCGCATTTCTCAATGACTCTCCATAACTGCCTCCAAACCTCCAGATTTCTTTCAAAAGGCGTCAATTGTAAATTATATTTCTCTTCAAGACTAATAAAATTAATTTATATCGATTCATATAGAGTTTTACAATGCCAATTTTCTACGCCAATTTAAAAACGCTTCTTTTTCATTTCTTTCAAGATCTTCTACTGTTGTTTCAGAGTCCCAGTATGGCCTTAAATATTAAGGATATCCATTAAAATCTATAAAATTACCGTCTCGGAATGATTAAGTCTGATTTTAACTTCTGATGAGTTTCTAACAACTCTTTTTCTTCATCTTTTGATAGAATATTATTTTTTCTCCGGTTCCATCCAATTATTTTAATGTTTTTCTCCTCTATTCTCCTTAGATTAACCTTTTTACATATAAATATTTATTTGCCTCTTATAAACTCAGTTTCTGACAGATTAATCTCGGACAAAAAGGTTTCTAAAGATGTCTCATGAATAATAAACTCTAATTTCTTGGTTTTTAGCTTATTTCTGCAGGGTATATCCCCCTATCAAGAGTTAATTCTATTTTTTTCAAATATTTCGATAAACATGTGCGTTTTTTTGGTGATAATTTAGAATATTATTTTTCAAGGCATTTCCAAGACAATTACGTGTCTTTTCCTTAGATAAATGCTGCAAAAGTGTCAGTTCATGGAGGGAAAATCCGCACAAAAACTCACCATTTTCTTAAAAAAATACAAGGTTAACGTAATTTTTACGATGACAACCGTTGCTATACCAAACGTCATAAAATGGTAAGTTTTATGTTTGCCTTAAAATATGGGTTAATTAGGGATTTTTAGCCGAAAAAACGGTTTATTGACAAGAAAAACTCAGTTACTTTTCATCTTGTTCATAGGTTTTAAAAAAAAAACGAAAAAAAACGGTTAACTGACGGTTAAATTAGATCTCAAAAAGATCCTCTAATTCATGACAATCAAGCGCCTTCAAGAGTCCTTGTTCCAGTAATTTATAATACTAAAAAGAAGGTTATTTGTTATTTCTTTGGTTTTCTGTGCTTTTTTTGATGTTTTTTAGGCATCAAATGGGCTAAATATCAATGAAAAAAGTCAAGAAGATAATTCACCAAAAAAATACAACGATAAACCTTTAAAAGATAAGAAAACAGTGGAAAACTTAAGGGAAAATATAGGGGAATCTATTTTGTATGGTATTTCATATAACGATACCGAATATGACTATATGCAACATCTTCGTGAAATAGGAAAATCACCTGGTGGAATTTTATTTGAGAAATCTACAGATAAAAAACCTAGTATTATCGATGAATTTCCAAAAGAAGTGTTTCCTTCGGATATTGAGCAAAAAAGAAGTTATCAGGATCAACAATCTATTCCTGATGATATATCTGGTTTTCAACCAGATATGGATATAAGACTTAGAGAAGTTTTGGAGGCATTAGAAGATGAACGCTATTTATCATCAGATGAGGAGGGTGATTTAGATGAATTGATAAAATCAGGGAAAGTAGATAATTCAAGTGTTATTGAAAATTCGGATACAGATTGGGATTCTGATGATACAAACATCTCTAAAGAAATTTCCTCTCAGGATTCAAATATATATGATAATGATTCTATTTTTCGAGAATGTTTAAAAAATAAGAAAAAATTTCGAAAACCACTGTCTAAGGCTACATATTATTCTATAACTAGTTCTATACTTCCTAGAAGCGAGGCCCTAGTACTTCTGGACGACAGATTTGAGAAAGTATATTGCAAAAATAAAGTTTTTGCAAAGCTGTGCTAATTTTTTAGATAAAAAAAGAATATGATGATGATGTTGAAGTTGATAACGATGATACAAATGATAAAGAATCAAAAGGAGATCTAGAAAGAATGGACTTTGAGTCAATAATGGATAATTTTCTTAATGATTATGAGATAACAGGGAAAAAAATTGTTCCAAAAATATATTCAAAAGAATTCAATATAAAGCATTCTAAACCCATAACAGAGTTAGATGAAATTCGACAACAATTAAGAACAAAAATATAAATAAATCTTAAAAACTTTTAAGCTGAAACTGATATCGAAATTAATGATTCATATAATATAAATACTAAATACTAATTTATAGATAACATATATAGACATGTTTAACAAATAGAAAAATATCATGTTCGTGACTTGTTTTGACAAATGTATTAAAAGATAATGAATAAATTCTCATATTTTTTAAAATTGTTTTTCATGCTTTTTGAAAGAAGTAAAAATGCTGAAATTTTTGGAATCTTAACTGAAACTTATATAAAATTTTTAATATTTTTCTAAAGCATCTGATACAAAATTAATAAGACTTGAAAAATGGTCTATTTGATTTTTAAAATAATTTTTTTAAACTGCCCTTTTGTGATAAATTTGATTTATGATTTTTCTGATTTTGGTGTTCTTGAATTTTTTCCAATTCATCATCATTAAGAAGCCAAGAAACAACTTCTCTATGATTTTTACCAAAGTCTATCGATTTTCCTCCGGAAATAACAATATTTTGTACTTGTTGTTTTTGTTTTGCCCGTTCTAAAATATGTTCTTCAATTGTTCCTCGAGTGACAAATCTATACACTGTAACTTGCTTCATTTGACCAATACGATGCGCTCTATCTGTAGCTTGTGCATCTGAACTTGGATTCCAATCGGAATCATAAAATATTACGGTATCTGCTGCTGTCAAATTAATACCAAGACCACCCGCGCGAGTACTAAGAAGAAATACAAATATTTCCGGTCGTGTTTGCCAATCATTTACCATGTCTCTTCTATCATTAATTTTAGATGATCCATCCAGACGAAGGTACTTATATTGTCTATATGTCAAATATTCTTCCATTAAATCGATCATTTTAGTCATTTGAAAGTATATAAGTACGCGATGTCCACCTGCCTTTAAAACGGCTAAGAGTTCATCTAATTTTGCAAGTTTTCCTGAATCCGTAACAAATCTACTCATAGCAGGCATTCGAAGTCTTCCAAAGCTTGATTTTTCAAGCAATGGTCTTCCTAATATATTTTCTACGGGATATTCGATAATATTTAAGTCTATATTATTATCAATAATATTTTTTTCTTCAAACACTGTAATTCCAAGAAATTCTTTTCTAACATCTTCATCAAAAAAAAACTGCTCTTGTTCAAGCGTAAAAGTTCTATCTATACATTCAGCGTCTATAGGAGGAGATGAAACCTATGCAATATATTAGTAAAAGAATTGATAAATAGATGATTAAATATTTACTAACTTTTTGATCATACATTGGCTCTAATCGATGTAGTAATTGTTCAATAAAAACGTTACGGGATATATTGCATAAATTATACATAGGAGAATCATTTTCCATATCAGAGATCAACACATGTTCGGTAAACTTTTTTATGAAAAACATAAAATGATCGGGTATTCGAATATCTTTGTATAATAAATGCAATTTTGCCATATACTTTTTACTTAAATCCATTTGGTTACGAAGAGCTCGTTTCCATATATTATAATGAAATAATCTAGAAAGTTCGGAAGGTGAAAGCCCAATAAAATATGACCATGAAAACGGTGAATCTACCTTTATTAATTTTTTTTTAAAAAAAAATTAATAGGAAAACTATACCATGATGATTTTTCCATAAGGAATCATATATATATTTCGTGTCAAATATATTCATTATATAATTAAAATATTTAATGCGAAACCCAAAAGACGAATTTGGTCCATGATTATTTAAAATACCACCATTACGATAAAAAAGTTTTGGTACATGGAATTTGATTAGACTTTTTAAACTATATGGTATATAAAGATTTGATCCTTCACGCATTAATGATGGTGTTTCAACCCATTGTGCAAAGCATAAAGGCGAGATTACATCTATTCTCTCGAATAAATAAGGATGATTGCATACTTTTCTAAATTGCATGACGATATTCATAAGGCTTGCTACGTTTTCATCACCACCTTGTGTTGCTTTTTCAATAATATCTGCAATAGAAATTTTTTCACGTAATGTTTTATAATAGGCTTTTTGACGATAGGAAAGATTACAATAAATTTCCAATTCAATTTTTTCCCCTAGTTCACTTTGAACATGCTTCTTGACACGGCGCAACATAAAAGGTTTAAGAATCATATGAAGACGTTGTAATTGTTCTAAAAATAATTAACATGAAAAAAAAAATAAAGATAAAAATGTAGTATACGCTCGTTTAAAGAAGTGTTACTCTGTGCATGACTCTCAATATCTTTTGAAAACCATTCGCTAAACTCGTCATGAGAATCGAATAAACTTGGCATGATAAAGTGTAATAAAGCCCATAATTCTAAGGGTATTAGAAAGGGAGAGAGAAAAATTTCATTAAATTGATTGAGAAATACCTTGCATTGTATTTTGAATCGGTGTTCCGGTTAAAAGTAAGCGATTTCGACATTTCATATCAAGTAAGTTCTTCCATCTTGAACTACTTGAGCTTTTGATGGCTTGTGCCTCATCAAGAATCATGTATTGCCACTTTACCCTTTGAAAATACTGCGCATCCTGAACTACAAGTTGATAAGATGTAACGAGAACGTGAAATGGTGCATCCTCTGTATATGTAAGCTGTTTTCGATCCCAAAATTTACGTAAAATCTTTCTATCCTTACTATTTCCCCAGTAAGGAAGAACCTAATGAATAGTAAAACTTTTTATGAATCAAAATAATGAATTGATAATTATACCTTTAATTTTGGCACAAATCTAGTAATTTCTTGTTGCCAATTATGAAGGGTAGATGCAGGCGCTATTACGAAAAAAGGTCCCCATATATTATGATTTTCCGCAAGATAAGCCATGACAGAAATGGATTGTACTGTTTTTCCCAAACCCATTTCATCGGCTAAAATACCATTGATACCTTGTTCGTACAAATTAACTAGCCATGTGAGTCCTTTTATTTGATACTCCTTAAGTTGACATTGAAGCATTTTCGGTTGGGTAATTGTGACATTTCCTAGAGATGATGGATTCATAAAATTCATTTCACTACCGTCAAACATATTCTTAGACTCTCCGATTGAATTAAATTGTTCAGCATGATTTTTTGCTAATGAAATGGCATTTTGTGCATTCTTAATAGCAATCTGCCGAAGTGAATCATCATCTACTCCATCGAAATCAAGATCTTTGATTGAACAATGGTTCGATGGTGGTGTTTCCATCATTTCTAATGAATTATCTACTAATGCTTTTTCCTCTTTATCCTTGGATAGACCCTTTATCTCATCAACATTATTTGTCTCTTCAGATCTTATTTTTCGACTAATAAAATGAGAATATAATTCTGTTTGTGTAATTAAGAAATTTAATTTCCTCGCTTGTCGTGTGGCTTCTCTTTGTTCTTCTGCCTTTTTTGCCTTTTCTATTGCTTCTTTTTCCTCTTTTTTACGTTGTTCTCGTTCTTCTTTCTCATTTCTCTTCCAAAAAACAAGCATCTCTCTCATTGCTCGTTTTGCTCGTGCTTGCATATCTTTGATATTCTTGTTCGTTCGGAATTGCCAACGTCTTGCTTCTTTCGAGCAAAGTAATGCCGTTTTACGCGAATTGCTGCTTCGTGTTGCATAATTTTGTTGAATCATCTTATACACTTTGGGAACCTCTTTCTTCGATATTTCCTTCCAAACATACGCTATCGATTCTTCTAACGTCCTTAAACGATTCGTACTCTTTTTAACCTTTTTATTAGGTCTATACATCCCTTCTGATCCCGATGTTTCTTCATCCATAGAAAAACTCAATTCTAAGATATCTTTTTCCTTAAATGCATTACGCTCTTTTTTAGAAGAGTCCTTCTCCCTTCTAAAAATATCTTTTTCCTTTTTTATACTCTCTTTTGCATCTCTAAATCCCAAATATGTCTTATCAAGATTTACTTCATTAAAATAACATTTCGGCGTCTTTTCTACCACTTTTTTCGCACGATTATTCAACCTCTCAATTAACATAGCCTGAATCTCTATTCTTTTCGCCATAATACGCTCCTCTTCTTCCTCTTTTGCCTTTTTTAATCTTTCTCTTATATTTTCCATAAATTCTGCTTTACTCGTGTTGATTCCTTTATTCAACCCACTGCACATATTTCTACCCTCATTTCTACCCTCATTTTTACTCATATTCTTTGACTTCTTCCGATTAACCGGCCATTCTGAATACCATCCTTCTGAACATACTCTTTTTACTCCTTGTTGAGATATTAACCCTGATTCTTTCTCTGAAAATCGGGCCAATTCTTCTGTTCTATTTCTTCCATTTACTACTTCCTTGGTAGAATCTATTGCCTCATCCGTTTGCTCATCTGGCGATTCCATTTGAACGGCAAAAGGATGTGAACGCCGTTTCTAACGGAGTAAAACATCGAACGCTAAATGTCTCGGAAATTTCTAAGCGTTTCAACGAAATGACAAATTCACTCAGTAAATTAACAAAAAAAATTCATTACATAAATTTTTATACCTTTCTAGCTAAAAATATCCATAATTAAGCCTAATATATTATATAGAATATATTTATATTCATCTTGTACATATTATTTTTAATAAACATTTTTTAAACTCTTTTTAAACAAACACTTTTTAAAATGCCTTACTATAGATAACATATTTATTTTTTCAGTATCTTTTGCTCTTCTTTAAAGGCTTCTAATTTATTTCTATATAAATATATATTTATTATATATTTATATTTATTAATAAATATAATTACCGAATAAATGCCTCTTCTTCTGGAGTTCTTGCATAGATAGGAGGGTCACCAGCCAATCGTTGTTCAGCTTTTTTATTAGCTCGATGTATGGCATAACCTGATTCTATTATATATAATTGGAATGAGATTATTTTTACCAATAAGACTAGCTGTAGATAAAATTGTTCCAATGGCAACCTAATATAAATTTATTTATAAAATATAATAAATATATTATTTCTATTACATATTCTGACTTTATAGCTCGTCCGGCAATAATTACATATGCCATAATGGATAATATTAATAAAATGTAAGGTAAGACGGTAAATGGAAGGGAGTGTAAACCTAACCCTAAACCGGACCTAATAAAGTGGATAAACCTAACCCTGGAGTAGTAGATAAGAGTAATAGGAGTAAGTAAAGGGGGGGGGGGGGTAAGAGTAAGAGGTAAGTCGAGGTAAGTCGAGGTAAGTAGACGTAAAGTAGACGTAAAGTAACTCTAATATAATCCTAACTTAACCCTAGTATTACAAGGGTGACCTTGGTTAATCCTAAAGTAACCTAATATAACCCTAACAACCCCAACCCAGCCCTAACCTAACACCAACTCCGGAGTTACAGGGGTCATCCTTGTTAACCATACCCTAACCCTGAAGTTACAAGGATCATCCTGGTCAACCCTAATATAACCCTAATACAACCCTAATAACCCTAAACAACCCTAACTTAACCCTAAAGTTACAAGGGTCATCCCTGTTAACCCTATACTAACCCTAATCTAACCCTAACTCTTCCCCCTACCCCTCACTTAACCCTAACGTAACCCTAACGCAACCCTAACGTAACCCTAAGACTACAAGGGTCATCCTGGTTAACCCTAGACTAACCCTAATCTAACCCTCTTATAACCCTAACTTAACCCTAAACATCCCTACTACCCCCCCTCCCCAACTCATCCCTGAATAGGTCATTGAATCAATATTTTTAATCAAAAACTTCTTATTCCTATCTTTTCATGAATAATAAAAATTATTTTCACTCAGGATTTCATCTTGTTTATCTTTTCAAAATACTATAAATATAGAGATTTTTTCAAGATCAGATTTATACGAGACTCTTACAAGGATAAAAACTACTCTTTTAACTATAAATACATATAATACATATAATACATACAATGTTTTCATAATTTGATCATTTTGAAAAAAATCTATATATAATTTGGTTTATATAGATTTTTATTTTATTGGATATCAGAGTAAAAGAAAAGGGATGATTTGTAGATCTTTAGTAAGAACAGCTTATCTGTTCCATAATTCGGCTATTTATTCAAACTCCTGTTTAATTTTTCCTGTACAAAAGGCATTGAAATGTTTTAAAGATTCTCGTTATATAGGATATGTATCACATTATGAGCCAGTTTCAAGTTCATATTTTACAACAAAAGAAGGATTTAATGATGACTATTTATCATTAGAAAATATTTTAAAGCGTTATCAAACACTTCCTACAATATCTTTTGAGGAAGCACCTAAACGATTATGGAAGACTTTAAATCAATATAGAGAATCAGGAAATATATTGGAATCTATAAAACCATCAGAATATCGGAAAATTATACAACTTCTTGGAAGGATTAATAGAATTGATCCGATGTTTATGCCTCAGGAAGTCAAAGAAGTTCTTGATAAATATTCTAGAGAAACATCTGTTGTTAAATTAAAAATGCAATATACAGCTTCTTTAGATGCTTCAGGGCGTTCACGTACAATTGGACGAAGAAAAGAAGCTGTTTCTAGTGTATGGATGATAAAAGGTGATGGACAGGTACTTGTTAATGGAAAAATTCTTTATAAAGCATTTCCTCGATTATCCGATCGACAATCTCTTATTTTACCATTAAAAATAACACAACGTCTTGATCAATATAATATATGTATTATTGTTAAAGGGGGTGGATCTACTGGTATTTTTTTTTCTTTTTAATTTTAAAAAATCAATTAATAAATGTATTTAGGTCAAGCAGAAGCTTCTGCTCTTGCAATTTCTCGAGGATTGGTGATTCATGAACCTGAATTAACAGATCTTTTGCGAAAAAGTATTTTTTTTTTCATATTTAAAAATAAACTTTCTAATAAATACAAAAAGATTCCTGTCTTACACCTGATCCACGTCGTGTCGAGAGAAAAAAGCCTGGTTCTATACTTTTATATTTATTATTCTATATTTCTTATTCAATATTAGGTCAACCAAAGGCACGAAAGAAAAATACATGGGTTAAACGATAAACATATAAGTAAGTTTATATCTAATTCTATTTTCTTCTTTTCATTATAAATAGACTTAAATATTCATAATCATATGGATTATTTTTTTTGAGACTGCTTACCTATATGTTACTATGGTAACCTTTTAGATCATACAAAATTAATATTAAAAAATTAATACATTTGACGAGGTAAAAATGTCATTTGGAAAGCTTTACGGTTATCCAGAAAACTCTAGGTATTTATAAATATTTTTTTATTACAATATTTTTATGATATATTAGAACGATTGCTCTTTTGATAGTTGCAAAAGAAAATAATCTTGATATAGAACTTGTTGTTGAAAATCCCAGCCTTGGATTAAGCAAAGAATATTTGGAACGTTTTCCAAAGAAAAAAGTACGTTTGGTTTATTTTTTTTTTTGTCCTATTTTTACCATTTTTGAGATACCAGGGTTTTTGGGTTCAGATGGGTTTTGTTTGACAGAAACAAATGCTATTGCTATTTACTGTAAGTATATTTTTATTTTTTTTCTTTGAAATATTTTATGGGTAAATGATGATGCAAACGAATCACACAGTTATCCCTGTCTGAAAATCGTGCTGAAAATAAGTGATCTGATAGAATGACTAAAATAAATATATATTTCTTCTGATCTATATATCATTAATTAGATCAATTTTTTGAAGAATAAATTATCTATGAGAAAATTAGATATATTTTATCATTTTTTCATTTATTCTTATATTTTTCTTATAGTTGCAAGTCAAAATGAAAAAACGACACTACTTGGAAAAACCAAACAAGAATATGCATCAATTCTTCAATGGATGTCTTTTGCAAATACAGATCTTATTCGATCTATTGCTTTATGGTTTTTTCCATTAGTTGGCAGGATGCCGTATTCCAAAAAAGTGGTAGATGAAAACCAGGAAGAGGCTAATCGACTTTGTAAATATATAAATTGCTTTTTGAAATCAAGGACATTTTTTGTTGGAGAACGTTTAACGCTTGCGGATTTAGTTATGGCTGCTCATCTTACACCTGGATTTTTAACAGTAATTTTTTAAAAAAATCTAAATCAAGAAAATTGATATTTTCAGGTTTTTGGAGCAGAATGGAGGCGTGGATTTCCAAATCTTGTTCGATGGTATTTAACTGTTGTTAATCAACCTATTTGGACTGCAGCATTACCCGTTCCAGTAATGATTGAAGAACCGGTTAAATATGTCCCTAAGGAGCCGGAAAATGAAACAGTTCCAGCCAAATCAGATTCTGAATTGGAAGAATCGTCAGCGAAGGAATTAAATCACACTTCTAACTCTTCACTTCCACGTTCATTTGTTTTGGATGAATGGAAGCGTCAATTTTCTAATAATGATCTTAAAACTGCTATGCAATGGTTTTGGCAGCATTTAGATACAGAAGCATACTCTTTATGGCGATTAGATTATAAAGTATGATTTATAATGTATAAATTATTATCATTTAATTTATGTTTTTAGTATAATGACGAACTTGGATTAATTTTCCAAAGTTCAAATCTTTGTGGAGGTATTTTATTATTTTTTTTTCTTAAAAAATCTTATTTTAATTAGGTTTTTTTCAAAGGCTTGATGCAAGTAGAAAAAGCATTTTTGGATCTTTAGTTGTCTATGGACAAAACCGTGACAATATTATTAGTGGTGTATTCCTTATTAAGGGTAAAGACTTTAAGCCAGTCTTTGATGTAGCTCCTGATTGGGAATCCTATGATTTTGTATCTCTTGATCCTGCCAAGGAAGAAGATAGAAGGCATATTGAGTCTGTCTGGGGTCGAAATGATCCAATTGAAATCAATGGTAGGATTTATGTTGCTGCAGATGGAAAAATTTTTAAATAAATTACTGTTTATTACATTTTTAATGTACAAAACAATGTATGTGGCTTTGTAATATTGATTTTACAAAATATAGGTATCATTCAGCTTTTGTATCGATATTTGAATAATCTTTTTCGTTCTTTAGATGCTAGTTTTTTATCTTTCCTTCTTATATATCTATCTAAGGCTTTAGTTCCTTCGAGTTTAGATAATTTGCTTGCTTCTATTAGTTTCTTTTGTTCTTCTATATAAAAGTTAATTTAAATAAAAATAAACCAAATTGTTGACTTTTTTTCAAAAAAAAAGGTTTTTTGCCTATTTTTGCCTTTTCCTTTTCATTTTTCTTGTATTCATGGAGAATTCTGGTAGCTTCTTCTTTATTTTTGGCTGCCAATAGTTTTGATTCCTAAATATTATTAAAAAGATAAATAATAAATTTAAAATAACCATAGAAATAATAGTTTTCTTTATTCGTTCTTTTTTCTCATTATTTTTTTCATGTTTTAATGTATGTTTTAGCAATTGGAGTTCCTCTTTTTGATAATCCTTTATAAATGAATATTTTGAGCTTAAATTAGTAAGATTTACACGATCTTCAAAATCAAAACGAGGATCACGCCGTTCTATTTTTGTAAGAGGAACTACCTTTCGAAATCTTGAAACCGGCTTTTTACTAGACATTTCTAGCGGTGCATTTTTATTGGTGCGTTTTTTTTTAATTATTTTTTCCTTATTATTCTCATTGATTTTTAATTGTTTTTTAGAATCAAATACTTTTTGATGCTTTTCTTTCATATCTGAAGCATTGTCAAGTTCTTCTTTTACTGAAACTAAGACGCCAAATGGAATTTTTGAAAGCTCTAATAATATTAAAATATATCATATATAATCATCTTATATAGTAAACCTTTTTCAATAACCTTTCATATCTCTCAGAAAAAAATATTTTGAAAAAATAAACTTGCCTGAGAATCCTGATTATTAAAAGATACTTGAGAAATGTTACTTTTTGTTTTATTTTTGTAATTCATATTTATATATTTATCAGCCTTGATAATTTTTAAAATATTTACTATTGTGTTTTTAATCGTATCATTGATATATTATTTATGAAGTGTTTGTATAAGATTTTATTTAACTTGTTTTTTCTAGTAAATCTTTATTTCTTTTGTTGATAAATTATCGTAAATTTGATTATCCAAAATTTTAAATAGTAAACCCTTTGAAAGCCAATACAAAAAGACTATATTAAGAATATACGACTTAAAAATTTGTGAAAAAAATATATTTGTCAATATTTTCTATTTTTTTATTGTGAATAATGTTTATGAATTTCCTTTAGATTTTTTAATTTGTATATATATTTACTATTTCGTTGAACCTTAAATTGTTATCAAGTCATCTGAAAGAAAGATAAAACATTGAAAAAATCTTATAAAAATCCTTAATATTGCCCCAGTTAATATTTTAGAAAAATTTATAAATTAGTAATTTTGAAAAAAATATGAAATGATCTGGAAAAAAATGTTAAATATTCCCAAAAAGAATAAATACAATTAATAATAGAATGTTAATTTTATGACTCTCTCCATGTAACAAGTACTTCATCTGTACGAAAACGCTGTGTACATTGACTATCAGAAATAAGAGTCTGAAACCCTGTTTTATATGCTAATAATCCCGCGTGTGCAATCATTAAACCATTATCTATACAGAATCTACGAAATTATGATCATTAAGACTTGATTAATCTATTTTCAATGATTTTTTACCTCTCATCTGTAGAAAATAATTTCCCTCCTCTGCTTTGTGCCATTAAATTCATCATTTCTTGTAATCTTTCATTACAACCAACACCTCCAACAATTAAAACCTCTTTACTATCCACGTGTGCCATTGCTCTTTCCGTTATCTCAACAAGCATGGAAAATACGTTTTCTTGTAAAGAAAAACATAAGTCTTCTTTTGTATAGGGTGAATCTTTACGAAATTCTTTCGTATTTTTGTCAAAAAAATCATTTGCAATGCTTTCTATTGCACTCAAGATGCCTGAAAATGAACAATCCATTCCCTTCACTGTATAAGGTAGTTCAACTAACACTTTCCCCCTAAATAATGTATAATTTTTTTTTTTTTGAAAAAAAAACATACTTTTTTGCAAGCTTTTCAATATTATATCCTGGACTTGGATCATTGGAAATATAGATCGACCTTGCAAAGCGATCTAAACAATTTCCAACTGCAATATCTAATGTTTCTCCAAAAATACGATATCTTGTATCTATCAATATATGATAATATAATATACAACCAATTTACCTTTTTTCAGCATATGCAATCACTTGTGTATTCCCACCACTAACATATAATATTATTGGATTTATTGCTCCTGTAATTTCTCGTCCCATCTCTATATCTTATATATCATTAATTTTAAAAATATACATATATAATCTTTTTATATACGTCCAATACAATGATTTACACCAACTAAAGGTATATTATACAAAATTGACAGAGTTCTTGCTATAATAGCTACTGTTTGGAGTGGTGCACCCATTCCTGGTCCTAAAGACTTAGCCCTATCAATATATCCTCTTAATACTTATTCTATACCCTTTGTAAAGCATATACAGTCAATATCCTTCATTTTTAACCCGCTTTTTTTCATGGCCTCTTTAATTAATCTGATCGCCCATTCTCTATGATGTTTTTCTGTATGTTTTGGCAAGAACCCTTCTCCTGGAGGCGTAATATATGTATGCCGGAGATTAATAATCATTTCTGCTGGTCCTTTCAACGGATGTTTTATGATTCCAACACCCATCTTGTTTGCAGACCCTTATTTATAAGATATATATGTTGATATATGAAACTTACCTTCTAATCCAAGAGCAAACATGTCTTTTCCATCTGATATCCCATAATCTGCGCTCATAGAGGCTGTATGAGCTGAAATACCGGGATATATGCGTATTATATGCGTATTATATGCGTTATGTATGCGGTTCTGCACAGGATCCAACGGTGATAATATACACTGTCAATACCAATTACATTCAGCTTATACATAATTATACATATTTCTATAAAATAGAGGATCTATTTGTATATAAAGAAATCTATTTATTCATAATTGAGCGTAGTCAGGCATAAATAGGACAATTGATAATACATGAGCACATATATAGATATATATATATATAGAATATAGCGCATATAATACGCATATATAACGATTATATTATACATATATGACTTTTATTTATGTATTGTATGGTCGTTATATGCGTATACTTTCCCGATTAGTAATATGGGAATTTTATCCTATAAATACCTCCTCCCCCCTCGAAAATGAGCTATTTACTACCAAACCTTGCATTGTTGAAGCATTTCTAAAACATTGTTATAAATGCTTCGTTGTCCCTCTAAATCATCAGTCCAATCCAATCCAAAGCCAACTAGAACCATCCGGTTCTCTTTAACAGAATTACGGAGAATATAACTTGCTACTTGACAGGCAAGCATTTGTGCAAAATCAGCTCGTGGAAGATGACTTGCTCCTAAAAGAAATTTTGCCGAGAGATGTGGTAGAGGTAATTGATCTTGCTGTGCTGCTGAGGTTTCATCAAAAAATGGAATTGCTTGGTTTAAATCGACAGAAATCTGGTAATAGCTTAGTATAGGGTCTTGATTATTGCATGATTATTGCATGAAATTGGGCAAAATCTCTAAAACATACCCATTCAGAGACACTACCTCGCATAGTAGCAATAATAAAAATACAATCAAGAAATCCTTGAATATAAAGTTGAAGAGGTTTATATGGAGTGATAGTGCGTGTTATTATCTTAGGAGTAAAACATGGATTCATTAAAAATAGAGAGAATTATGTTTATATTTTAAGAATTATGAGATTTCGAGAAATCAGGGTGTGGTTAATCATCGAACATCAAAGGAATAAATAAGGGGGAAAAAGATGGAATATTAGATGAGTAGATCTAAATATTATAATACAATTTATTGCCCTGTTTGTAATAGACCATCTGTGAGTTTTTTCGAAGAAAATGGTTGAAATATTGATAAATTTATAGAAAAACTTATACGAATTGAATGTTCACCTAGATCAAGACCATTTTGATGTGGCTGAAAAGCAAAAAGAAACAGTTAAATCATGGTTAAAGAAAAGAGTTGATGAAGCAAAACAATTAGCATCGATTGTAGTTACTCAACATTATTTTCATAAGGAATTCGAATTAAATGAAAATCATGTAGAAACACAAGTTACGAAAAAACATTGGCAAATTGATGAAAATGTACCATGTTTTTTCGAATCATGCCATAAAATTCTTGTTTCCAAGGGAGAACGTGTTAATTGTATGTATTTCTATGATAAACAAGTAAGATTAATATAATGATTCTCATAATATATATTATTATATGCATGAATATGATTTTATGCTATTTTAAGACTTTAATGATATATTTGTATGAGGAAAAGGGAATATTTGTGAGAAATAGTTATTACATATATCTAGACCTAGTAGTATGAATATAATTATTCATATATCTATCTCTAGATAAAAAGAGGTCATATGTGTGGAGATATTTGGTTGAAAATATTGATTAGGTTTATAAATATAGAGTTGTATTGATATAGATGTTTTTTTTTTTTTTTAAAAAATGAACCTTATCAGAATCATTATTTAGCTATCTTTTTTATAGAATGACTAATAATATTTTAAAGGCAAAAAATGCGGGAAATTGTTTTGCAATATTCACACATCCTATCAAGTAGATATAAAGAAATTATGCATTTTTATTATAACATTTTATTAGATTAAACTTTCTCAAGATGCTCAACATGATCCTGATCATGGTGTATGGTCTCGTGTTTGCAAATATTGTTATGAAGAAAGAGAAGGATATATGGATACGAATGGTAGTATTAAATATTACATGTTTTAAATTATAATTCTTATATATTAGGGCCTGTTATAGACTATTTTCCAGAATTTAAACACTTTCGTGCTCAAGCAGTAGACAAAATTAATCTACATGCTAATCGACTTGAAAAAAGGGTTTCAAAAGTAATTTTTTCTCTTTCTAGAATTATTTAATAATGTTTGTTTAAATTAGCTCTTTGAGCTTCTTATATTGGATTCAAAAAATGAAGCTACTACAAATTCTTTTTATAAATTGGTCAATTCTTTTAAATCACGAAAAAAGGCTTTAGAACAAACCATTGTTTCATGGGAAGATGATGTTTCCGTTACACATTGTCCAATTTGCAAGTAATATATTTTTTTAATTTTTTATAATCTTAATTCGTTTAGACGTTCTTTTAATTATACTGATAAAAAACACCACTGTAGATTATGTGGAAAGATAATATGTGCTAATTCGAAAACACAATGTTCTTCAATCGTTCAATTAAATATGAAATCTCGATGTTTAAATGCTTTTAATTCAAAAATAGGTATATCGTCTCTATATATTTTCATCATTATTTATATTTAGTGCATGAAAATTCAACGAATGCTTCAGTTTATTCAGATTTGTCCATACGTATATGTAAAAATTGTAGACATATTGCTTTTTCTAGAAAAGAGTTTTCCGATTGTCTTTCAAAATCTCATCCATTGGTTACTTTGTATAAAGTTGGTTTCCCGTCCTTTTTCTTTAATTAATCTTAATAAATTTTTTATAGGAATTATCCACACTTAGGCATAAGATTGAAATATTATTTTCTGATTTTAAATCTCAATTGAATGAATTAAAGAAAGTCCTTAATAATAGTTAACTTTAATACTAATAAAAAATTAGAGAAAATATAGACCAAAAACGAATTGATGAAATTGCATTGATTCGTGAAAAAATATTAGAAACATTCTCTCAATATGATAAATTGTCAAAGAATATTTCTCAATTAACAACAAAATCTTTAGCTATGAAAAATCTTCAAATAGAAATTCATTCGGAGGCAAAACGTTTCCTTCAACAGCATATGTTTTCATTGCAATTCGTTCCAAATTTAAAGAAAAAATGCGATAATAATACAAACAAAATAATACATTTCCCGGAGTTAAATGAAAAGAAATTTTTAGAACTACAGATTCTTGAAGAACAACGTCATCAAGTTCAAAACTGGATTAAAGATGCAAGTAAACGTAGAAAGTATGATGAAGTTGGTGCATTACTCGATAATATAAATATGCTTTCTCTTGAAATTGAAAAAATACAAACACAAGCTCATGAATTTTCGTCTTCTTTTGAACATGAAACGTATTCATAATTTGAAAATAATTGCTTTTTTTTTTGCTTAATAAATAGATAGATAAATATGTTATTTATACATATGATAACTGATGGAAAATTTCGTCGATCTAAAATTTCGGTAAAGGTGTCACAATATATATAATAATCTTAAACTTCTTCTGTCTGTGTTCCAATTGTTCTCATAATAGATTCATCTAAATCAATATCTAATTCTGGATCCATAATTCCTTGTTCAAAATCTTGAGGAACTAATGATATAATTTTTAAAGTAGATTCCATATTATTCAATGGTGTCGATAATAATGCCGTATTAGTCATTTGCTGTTCAAGAATTCGAGCACTAGGCTTTCGAGGTTTTTTACGTTGTACACGTTGTTTAGTCATAGGTCGATTTTGATGATAAATAGTCGGATCTTCTGGATAAAGACGATGATTATGTTCATCAACTACTTTAGTTATTTTCCATAATTCCGATTGACTTAATCCTGCTCGAACAAGCCATGGACAATTAGTTCTTTTAGTCGTTTGTTTACGTTGACGATGAGGTATTGTTGGATCTGATACCATAACTGGATCTACTGTTATTTCACTCGGTAGATTTCGTGTATTTCGATATTTTCCTCCATGAACACATTGCCTATATTAATATAAGGAAAATTGCTTATATTTAATATATATATATATATATATTATATATTTATAAATAATAATATTTATAAATATATAATAATATAAGCATACCATCTATATGTTATTCGATTAGAAGCTCGAACTGATACTGCAAATCCTTTAAATTTTGCATAGGCATCTAACATAGCACGAATATCTTCTGGTGATGCATAATGAACTCCTACTTGTGGTTGTGGAATTAAATTTTGTGAATCAACCGGATGAATTGTATAATGAACATTACTTAAATTATTATCGACAACCGTTGATGATGTGCTGTCCGTAGACTCCATTAATTTTTATTCTAAAACGAATTTTACGAAAGAACACCCGCTTGTTAAAAAAAAATATTTTTAATCGGCACCGACGAGATTATATTTAATAATATTATGATAAGATTCTTTTTACTATTTAAGGACGAGGGAATTAGGGTTATATCTTTGATATCTCAGATAATTCTTAAGTTAATTATAAAAAGAATCGATATATAATTTTAAAATGAAGTATAAAATGAGGTATAAAATGAATAAATATTGATAAATATTGATATAATATTGATATAATATTGATTTATATTGATATAATATTGATTTATATTGATTTATATTAATATATATATATATTGATAGATATAGAAAATTATTGGAAATTTATTTTTTAAGTCGAATCTGTGTTTTTAATACTCTTTTTACAATTTTTTGTTCTTCAATAAGAAATGCACGCATAATTCGATCTCTAACACATCTAGAACAACGTGAACCACCATATGATCTTGATACTGATTTTTTAGTTTTTGATAAACGAGAATAAACACGAGGTCTAGCAGCAGGAACCTAAAAGTAGAATCAAATATTAATTAATTATTTTTTATATTTTTTTTTTCGAAAAAAACTAACTCCTTGTAAAGCATGATAACAGTCACCACAACGTGGAGATTTTCCTTTCTAATGAAAGAATTTTAAAAATAAACATAAAAACAGATTTAGAGAATACCTTTTTCACATATAAATATCTTAATTTATTTCCTGGTGTTCTAATCACACGGACCTAAAAATATAAGGAGGAAAATATATAAAAATCTTATATATACATACTTTATTCGAAAGAGCTATTTGATTGATAAGTTTACAAAAGAATATATTATAAAAGATACTTACTGTTATAAGATAATCTACGACGATATGTTAGTCGTTGCATTTTTTTTATATTTTTATATTTTTTTAAAGCTTGTTGATAATCCGTACGACTATTAAAAAAGGTCAAACCTAATCATATCTTTATAATATATACCCTATATTAATTTATATAATAGGTCAGGTCTATATTTAAAAGGTTTTCGATATTTTTTTAAAAAAAATATAGAAAAAGCAATGGATGCATCAACAGAATCACAAGATGTTATGGATATTGAAGAAACACGAGGTATATATCTTTAATATTTTTATATTATTATATAATTTTTTATAGATCCAGTCATACGTAAGGGTCGAGGTTTTATGACACAAGGTAAAGATATTTTTTTTTTATATGAAGAAAACAATTAATATATTAGATGAAACAATGTTTTTGAACGGTGAAAATATGGAAGGAGAAGCTATTCAATATGACAATGAAGAATCTAGTGCATTGACAAAATCAGGAATGCGTGCTATACGATGTAAGATTAAATATTGGAAGATTTATATATATATATATTAAATAAATATTAGCAATTGAAGGATGGATTTTATTGGTAACGGGATTGCATGAAGAAACATCAGAAGAAGATCTTCAAGATAGATTTTCGGAATATGGAGATATCAAAAATTTACATTTAAATTTGGATCGAAGGACAGGTGAACATTTTTAAGGGTATTTTAGGGTTAGAATTGATAAGAAATAGGTTATGTTAAGGTTTAATATATTGATAAAAGTGTTAAAAAATGGTATTGATATATAGGGTTTAGGGATATGCATTGATTGAATATTCAAATTTATCAGAGGCTAAAGAAGCCGTTGAAAAATGTAATGGAACGGAATTATTAGAATCTAAATTATCGGTTGATTTTGCATTTGTTGAACCCGCTTGGAATATGTCGGTACAGAGAGATGCACGAAATTAAAATCGAAAATATTTATTCATACATAAAATTAATTTCAAATTCAATTTTCAATAGCAATACATTCAATTTCAACGTCTACACTTCTCGGTAATTCACGAACCCTATATTTCATGAGTTTTTTTTTTTATTCAAAAAAATCTTTAATGGTTAAATACGCAACACAACATCGTGCTGGACGATGAGAACCGAATATCTATTACATTATTAATTCACTAATTATTCATTTCTCGTCTATATATATATATATATATATATATATTACTTTTTCATATGTCTCATTGAATTCTTTAAAATGGCACATATCACTAAGAAAAACGGTTACTTTGATCACCTTCTCAAGGCTTGAATTTCCCGCCTCTAGAACATGACGAAGATTATCTAAACAAGCTTTCTGGAATATATTAAAACAATTATTCAATATTTATTATTAAGGAAATGCTAAATATACCGTTTGTTCCTTAATACTGGTCGTTACTAAGCAACCATTTGCTAGCGCCTAATAAATTTATATCACTAATGAAAATTCATAATAAACAATATTTACTGGCAATTGTCCTGAACAAAATATCAGTCCATTTGCCTTTATGGCTTGAGCTATACATTTATATTAGTTTTCAGTCAATTTTAACCAAATTTTTGAGAAAAAAAAAAAACGTATTTATTTATCAATATTCTAATATCTTTTAATAAACATACAGTATGGTCCAATAGGTGGTGGTGCTTGTTCACTATTAACAATTTCTAGTGTTTTTCCTGTCATCTTTATTAATTTAACTTAAAAAATTTTAACGTTTAATTAATTTCCATGGTAACTGTTGGTATGACAACGATATTCAATATGACGTCAACGTTTAAATTTTAAAATATTTATTTATCTTTTTTTTTTTGTTGGATTATTTTTATATAAATAAGGAGAGTTCTGGCAAGAATATTGAGTAATTAAGTGAATATTTATATGAAAAAGGCTTTTAGGGTATGTAACGTTTTTTTTCCAAGTTTAACGGTTTAAAACTGAGTGAGTTAGGAAATATTAGAAATTGTGGTTTTTTTCGGCCAAAAAAAGGGGTTTTTGGGAAATATAAGGTATTATTAGAAAGAGCGTATAAGGTTTAATTGGTTTTGGTCTTTAAATTTTTTTTTTTCACCTATTAACGGCTGAAAAAAGTGATTTTGAATATATATAACTGGGGATGACAAAAAAAGCATGTAAAAGACATAATCAAGTTGATTTAACACGCCCATTTTGTTATTATTGTGAGAGAGATTTTGATGATCTTAAAGTTTTGACAGCGCATCAGCGAGCAAAACATTTTAAATGGTATTTTTTTTTCAAGAATTTTTCAAAGATCTAGTATAATAAAGCAGCGCAAGATGCTCTAGAAAGCTCAATACAGCATCAGGACTTGCGATTCATGTTGTTCAGGTACATAAAGAAACGATCAGTACAGTTGAAAATGCCATTCCAGGAAGGGATTCTATTGAAATTGAAATATATGGAATGGAAGGAATACCGGAAAATGTTATACATTCACATTATAACCGTTTAATGTCAGAAGTTCAGCGTCATGAAACAGTTCCTCCATTAGAGTCAAAAAGACAGAAAATAGAAACATATGTTGATGCAGCAGATATTCAAGCTAGATTAGCAGCTCATAAAGCAGCAATGCAACAGCAGAAACAAAATTCACATAATAATTCTGAGAATGTAATTGATCCTAAACCTCATATATCATCACCATCGGGAGAATCATCTCAAACGACGACAGCAGATTTACCACCTCCATCACTTAATCCTTGCGTTTATGGAATTCCGCCTCAATATCAAAATTTTTATCAAAAAAATTCATCTTCAATACCAAGTAATACATATTATCCAATGTTGAAAAGTATTCATATTTATATTTTCATAATAATTTTGTTTCTAGACAAAATCATACAGTACCGAATATGCTTCAACCATTTATTAATACTCAAACATCAAATACTGCATGTTTAGCAAATGGCTTTGAGGAGATGAGTGCTTTATCGAATCCTGATAAATCTTTTGCTTCTATTGATTCATTAGCTACAAATACCTCTAGTCCAAATGCTTCATCTATAAAAAAAACATCTACTCCACTTAAATCTAATCAAATATTAGTTTATAATGACAATGAAATGTCTCCTGTAAGCCATGGTATATACTATAATAATTAATTAATTAATACCTATTAGGAAGAAAAAAAAGCATCTTTGCCTCAATATAAATATGAATTTCTAGATGAAGGTGTAGAAACAATTGACACAAAAAAAATTGCTCCGTTATTGGTAAACCTATCATGTAATTAATATTAGGTATCATTTAAATAAGAATTTAAATGTTTTTATATATGTCAATAATACATTTGTTAAAGAATTATTTCTATACAAAAAATTGATGAACTTATTAAGTATTATAAAATAATTTTTTTAAGCTCAATATCTAAACAAGATTCTATTCATATCATAAAATAAAAGTGTATTATTTTTTTTTAATATAAACTACAAGAAAAAATATAATAAATCATTGAATTCTTTTTTTCTAAAGCTGTCTCAATATTTCCAATTGTATTTTTTATTAACAGTTATTTTTGAACCTACACTTGCATTCTTTTTGCTTTTATACAAAGATATATTATTACAACACCCTATAGTTATTTTCATGATTAAAAACTTGATTGATGCAAAAATATGGATTGAGTTACAAGGGAGTCTTTGTTAGGGCTTAATTTAGTTTTATTTGCGTGATGAAGTTCAAATTGTTGATATTGCAAAATGTCAAATAAAAGTCCCTCTTGAGCTTTGTTACTCTGATGATAGTAGGAAGAATCTAGAGAATATTGAGTATTTTCTTGCAAAACACTATTATATAAGGGCATATTATAAGGCCGCATAGATGAAGACGCAGAAACTGGATGATTATAAAAGGTTGGATAATACTCGAAGAGATGAGAATGAAGTACTTTTTGCATGTCTGGTGAAGATGCCATTTGTAAATTAAAATTATTAATAGACGATTGAGACATATTAATATTTTCTTGTGGGTGATAGGATAATTGTGTAGGACTAAATATAAATTAAATGTTTATCAAAAAACAATAACAATAATTCTTACTGTTGATATAATAAATTATTGTCTGTGCTTAATTTAATAAATTGATTAAAACCATTTTTTTTCGAGAAAGCATTATAATGTCTATAGTTTTTTAGTCTATTAGATGCATCGGCCCCATTTTTCAATACAGCTCTATTCAATGTCCAATAACTTCCCTTTCCCGGCTCATTAATAGGTCTTGGTATTCGTATAAAATTTCTATTTAAACTAAGATTATGCCGAATACTGTTCTTCCACCCTTGATTGGGTGTTTCTTTAAAATATGGAAAATTATCTATACACCATTTATACAATTCTGATAATGTCATTTTCTGGGATGATGAGGTTGCAATTGCATAAGTAATTAATTGTGCATATGAATATGGCTTTCCTTGTATCCCTGTAGTAATTTGCAATGAATTTAACGTATCTACTGACGGTAATACAGCTTTTCCCCCATTTCCATCTTCTAATGATTTTTTTATCACCATATTTTTAGGTGCAGTTCTTAATTGACCTTGATATGAAAGAATTTCAGATCTTTCACCTGAGCAACTACTCAATGGAAAATAATTATTCAAAGTATCTAAATCATACATTTCTTCATTTGCTGTCTATTTTACCTATACTTTATCCCTAATATTTAAGATTTCTTTCGTTTTACAAAAAGCTCTACTAATACATCTGTTTCAGCCCGCAAATCAATAGAACTAGATATTTTATTAGATATATATTTATATTTAAATATATATTCCAGTAGTCCTTTGTTTTTATTAACCCTGATAACAAGTTTACAATAGAAGACTTAGAAGCGGATATTTCGCTATCTATTGACTCCTAACCTGTAAAGACACCTTTAAACTCCTTGAATCCACGAAATATCATCTCTTCAGATTTAAGTCTCTCCTGATCCCCTTTAACTCCTCCTGATCCCCTCACTATACGTCCCTTTATCTACATGTTTTTCCCACTTTAAATACCCAATTTTACAATATAGCCATTGATTAGAGCTTCCTCGCAATATACCCCCTTTTCCATGTTTTATTTTGTGGTATGAACTGGTCAATTGCCTATGAACTATTGTATATTCTCATAAATAAAGTATACTTATAGTTGACATAAAAACAACTAAATAGAAAATAGTAAACACATAATACGGTTAGTTAAGCAAGCTAAAATGCAGATTTGCGAATTAATCTTTGTAAAAAGACTAAATTGAAATGACTCCATTAACCAGTAAGGGGCTAAGTGAAAAAAGTATGGTTGCTGTGATTTAGGGTTAAGAAGTGTTCATAGAGAATAAAAGTATGTAAATATCATTCTTGAGAAAATACAAGAAGATTTTTTGATTCGAAACCTTTAATTTATATTGCAAAAGATTTATTTCCTATAAAAAACCTTAAATTATTAGTTTAGATAGCTTTTTCATAAAAAACATACCTTTTTAAATTGAAAACTTAAATGTAAAACTCCCTTATTTATATTAAAAATTGCTTTTATAATAAAAGAAGTAAAAAACCTTATCAAAAGAACTTCTAAATCCTCTTTCTCGTTTAGCGCTATAATCCCAATCTCTATCAATAATACGAAAGGCAATATCCTCATAAGGAGGGCCTGCCATAAACCGAATTAAACATGTTTCATCTTCAGATAATAAGCCTTGACCAGAATTCTTTTTTCTATTTCTTTCAATTCTATAAGTAGGAGCTTTTGTTTTATCAATAAGATCAGGATAGAAAATATTAAACTTATATCCTTGAATAACCTTGCAAAATAAGAAATAAGAATTTAATATAAATATAATTACTTTTGGAGGTGGATTATTTGCATCATAATGCACTTGATTATATCTGTTCCAATCATATCCAGTTTGTACACGATTAAAAAATTTAGGTTTTCGAGGCCTATAAGTATCTGCCCAACTAGGTGTTGTCTGAATGATTTCTTCTTCAACGTTAAACAATTCTTCATCATCATTTTCCCCCTTTGAGGCTTCTCGTTCATATAAAACATTTGTTATCGCTGAAAATGAATTATCCGTAATATCATCAATATTTTGTGAATTCTTTGAAACAGGTGTCTCATTCTTAACCATTTTAATAGGAACAAAACCAGAACGTAATATCCGATCTCGATCAGATACCTTGATAATATTTAATTTTTTTATTTAAAAATTGAATTATTCATACTAATTGATCTTGATAAGCTAATTCATGAATTCGAAATGACTTTTTGTCCTCATATTCTAGTGTAGATAAAGGTTCTGGGTCCATTGTTTCTTGACAAATATCCGGTAATTCAGTCACCTGTGCAATAAAAGTTTTGCCATCATTTATAAAACAATAATTCGGATCTAATATTTTTTTATTATAAATATTTTTAAGTGCTTCTCTATCCATCCTTCCTTCATGTAATTGTTGATTTTTTAATGCTTCTCTTCGTTGATTAAGAATTTTTTTATGTAATTCTTTCAATATAATCTAATATATTAAATAAAATTACATAATTCAAAAATAATTTATACCCTTGATTTCCAAACAATTAGACATTCTTTCATTTTTTCCCAATAATCCACATCGATAAGCGTTTCTCCTTGAAGTTTCTCATTGATTTGAGCCTCTAATGTTTCCAGCTCTTCCTTAGTCTTTCCTTTTAACAGATTATCTACTTGTGTTTCAATTGTTCGTGATAATCGAAATTCTCCATTATCTTGTCCTTTCGACTTTAATTTAAATATTTGATCTCGCCTAATCACATCGATAGACTTTTTCATTAATATTCTTAATATTAATATTAATCAAGGATTTCCCACCCTCCAAAATGATATATTTTCTTCTTCTGTCTCCCATTTTAAATACTGATCTATTTCTTTTTCCAGTTCTTCTAAAGCCTCTATATTTAATGTCTATTTTTACTTTTTAAAACACATTTTTTCACTTTTTCCTCCTTACTTCTAGGAAAACTACGGGATCTTGTAATACAACTTCTGCATGTTGAGGTTGTTCTTCGCAAAAATCTTCTGTTTTATCAATAATTCTTAAATGAACCGCTAAAATATCAACCGGTGTTTCACGACCATGTTTAACACGTAATTCTGCCCTTTTCTTTGCTTGAGAAAGTATAAACTCTCCTTCCTTTGACTGCCATTCAAGAATCTTGTTATAATCTTCTGTTAACGGCCCATAGGGCATACGTTTAATACGGCCTAATGACTTAATCCGCTTATTATTCGACTGACTTGTTCTTGGAGATCTAGATCTTGACCGATGTTCTTTCATAGCATCTCTAAAAGTATATTATTTTCTTTAAATTTATGATTTAATCCTCTGATTATATTAATACTATTTTATATGACGATTTCTTCGATCTTCCGTTAAAAAAAACATGTTATTATTTTTAGATAAAAGAGGTTTTATCATATATCCTCCTTAATCCTGGCCCTTCCATGACCCATCATTGTAATAGATGATTATGTTTTGCAGTTTTTTGGGTCTAAATATTGATTTATTTTTTAAAATTTCTATTTGAAAATATTAAAACATATAATAATCAGATTATTAAAAATATAGATGTTAATAAGGACCAAACATATTGTATGATTAAATGTAATACTTAGGCAAATACATCAATACGATCACCTAATAGTGTATCTTCACTTTCTAATTGCATCATTGAAGAAAAATGAGTTGTCCTATGTTGAGGACTATAAAAAGGAATAGGGACATCTAATTTCATATGATAAGCCATTTTATCTGAAAAGTTTGCACCATTAAATGAATAATTCCATATATCATCTTCGGGCACAAGAAAAAAACCTACGATTCGGTCTGAGAGTAATAATTGGCATTTCTCAGCCATAGTAGGTACCCATCTTGTGTTTAAATTAGTAAAAATCGGAATAAGAATAAATACAAACCCTTGAGGATTGCCACTTGTCATATCTTTATTTTTTGCGCCAAACTCATATCCAGATGGTGTCTATATTATTTATTATTAAATTTTATCGATAAATAGATAAGAAAATTACCAAGCAATATGCGGCTAAAGAAACAGAGCCAGGTGTAAAACTTACAGTCATTGTAATTGTTTTAGAATCCCATTCTTTATGTTCAGCCATGATCCTTGAATGTATGGTTAAGTCATTAGGTGATAAATGTGGCATTTCATGAGATTGCGTATGAACCCAACCTAGAGGTTCTAAATCATCAAGAAGAAGTTCATGTTTTGGAAGTTTATGTGGTAATTGAACGCCTGCATTGCTCCCTAGTTGAGGGACAATAGCAATACACTTTATTTCTTTAACTTCAGCATTATCTGAAGGAGAAGAACCATATAAGAAGCCAGCAACTTGAGTATATAAGTCTGATATGATTATAAATCTTTTTAAAATATTCATAGGTATAATATATGTATATTGTCCTTGATCCTGAATATCATCTGAAGATATATATATACGATTTGTTCTTAAATGAAGATTAGTTGTTGATATAGCACGTGTTCTCCATTCCGTCTTTGATGAAAAGGTTTGGGCTTCATAATTTGACGTATTAACAACAATGATCTCATCACCATGAATGTTTGTTGTTTTCGTAGTTCTTGCTGTTAATTGACTTTGTTCTTGCTGAGATTTTTCGATTTCCGTGATTTGTTGTCTTTGTATTGATGGCGCGGTTATTTCCATACCTAATATAATATCTCTAACCTCGGAAGATGTAAGACTTGCCACATTAACATTATTTTTCTTTCCATAATCGCCCAATATCAAATCTCTTAGAGCTAACTCAACATCTATCCATTGCTGATCTGTTAATGTAGGCCATATTTTATGAGATTCTATAAATTATTATTATTAGATTCTATTTAACAAGAGAAGAAAAAAGAAAAAAAATACCTGTAATAATTTCTTTTGATGGACGAAGAATCATTTTAGTTTTATCCATATTCACATGAAGTGCTCTAAGAATTAAAACTAATCTTGAGAATGCAGTATAAGATGATATTGTTTGAAGCCAGTCATCATAAAGGTTCATTAAAACCATTTGAGGACCTGTAGCCTTTAAAATCATATCACCCAATTTTTCTACTTTTAAAGCTGCTTGAAAGGGAAGTTGAAGTTCGCTTCCTTTTACAATAATATTTGGAAAATCACTGATTTCATTAATTAATAGCAAAAATTAAATCAAATTACGTACAGTAAATGAACCTCTAAAGGATCAAGCATACCCTTACGTGTAACGACAATTTGCTTCGGTTGTTCTTCGACTGGGAGCGATCTAATTAGTGCAGCAACTTCTTCTGCTGTTTTCCATTTTGCCAATTGCCCAAGACGTTTTTGTCCAGCCCATACTGATGTATGGATAATTTTCAGAAATAATTGACCTGACCTAGGATTAAAAATAAATATTGCACCATTAATCGGTTTTGTTGTTAAATTTCCTTCGAATGTTTTATGAATTGTTACTTTGTAAATTAAGTATATATTTAGAAATAAATTAATCAATTTATTACCTCGATATACATTAGTGTCATCTACAAACCAAATAATTTGATTGCTAAAAAGTTCAGAATAATTTTGAGAATTCAGATACTATTAAAGATATTAGATAATAAACTCTTAAGAATGTAAAAATCATACAGGCTCAGTAGGTTCAGAAGAATAAAGTTGAAGACCTTTTCGAATACGTTCTCTTAAAACATAAAGAGCAGGATTAACTTTCATAATTTTTGCCATGGCTTGCTGAATTAATGGTTTTAAACCGGGGAAAAAGTTGCCATATGCACTGTGCAAATTATAAGCTAAATCAACACCTATCATCAACCCTGTAGGAGAAGGATATATTGACTGAGAATCTGTGGTGTAATCCAAAAATTTTGCCCTAGTATATCGTTCTATATCATGAGAATCGAAATCTCCAAAACGAAGCTGTATATCGAGCCAAAATTTATTCGTAGTTGTTCCATCAAGCACATCTTTGCTATCATTGAGTAAAGATGGTCTAGAAACATTCCATTTATAAGTAGCAAATAATAAAATATCTGCACATGAACTATTCATTTTATACGATTTTCTAGGATGAATTGTTT